TGCCTGTCATCAGGCTCCCATGTTCCTACTCATGCCACTGTGAATGGTGCAGGCACCAGCAGCCCCAGGATCCACCCCCTTTCCTTCATTCTCTGGTTTATTGTACCAACAAGTGAGGTCAGATACACAAACAGTAAAAACATCACAAAGACTCTTCAGATCATGAATTAATAGCAACATGCAGCCCTTTAAAAATTAAGCATAAACTAATTGAGAATTTACTTATTTAGGAAAATAAATATGCCATCTCTCCAGAGGACTGCCCTAATGTATCATGTTCATACAGAACATAAACGTCTTCAAAGGCTTGCTCTGAATAGGTGCTACTGTTGTAACAAATGGTTCCCATTATAATAATGTGTCTCTTAATTGCCAAAACTGTTTCCTCATACCTGTCTTATGCCAGCTGTTTAGCTGTTCTGAACGTGTATGGCTGCTTCTTCAATGGGGCAACACCTGTTTAAGGCAATTGTATGCATATGACCTATTGTCATTTATCTGGTGATTTCAATGGAGGAGGAGGAGGAGGAGATTGGATTCATACCCCGCCCTTCACTTGGAGTCTCAGAGTGGCTTACAATATCTTTTCCCTTCCTCTCCCCAAAACAGACACCCCGTGAGGTAGGTGGGGCTGAGAGAGCTCTGTTCTTGAGAGAACAGCTCTGAAAGAGTTGTGACTGACCCAAGGTCACCCAGCTGGCTGCATGTGAAGGAGTGGAGAATCAAACCTGGTTCTCCAGATTAGAGTCCGCCGCTCTTAACCACAATAGCAAACTGACTCTCATCTATTGGAAAGAAACACACACAAACACATGAAATGCCTTATACTGAATCAGATCATTGGTCCCTCAAGGTCAATATGAGGAAAGGTTAAAGTGCTTAGGGCTCTTTAGCTTGGAGAAAAGACGACTGAGGGGTGACATGAAAGAGGTTTATAGGATTATGCATGGGAAAGCAGGTAGAGAAAGAGGTACTTTTCTCCCTTTCTCACAATACAAGAACTCGTGGGTACTCCATGAAACTGCAGAGCAGTCGGGTTAGAACGGATAAAAGGAAGTACTTCTTCACCCAAAGAGTGATTAACACTTGGAATTCACTGCCACAGGAAGTGGTGGCGGCTACAAGCATGGATGGCTTCAAAAGGGAATTAGATAAGCATATGGAGTAGAGGTCCATCAGTGGCTATTAGCCACAAGGTATAGATAGGGGCTCTGGGGCAAGTGATGCTCTGTCTTCTTGGTGCTTGGGGGGGGGTCAACAGTGGGAGGGCTTCTAATGTCCTGGCCCCACTGGTGGACCTCCTGATGGCACTGGTATTTCTGGCCACTGTGTGACACAGAGTGTTGGACTGGATGGGCCTTTGGCCTGATCCAACATTGGCGTCTCTTATGTTCTTAATATTGTCTCATCAGACTGGCAGTGGCTCTCCAGGTTTTCAGGTAGAGGTCTTTCACATCACTTATTGCCTGATGCTTTTTTAAAAAAACTGGAGAAGCCAGGGATTGAACCTGGGACCTTCTGCATGCCAAGTAGATGCTGTACCACTGAGTCATGGCCCCTTCCCATAAAGAGTTTCCTAATTGGTTTTTTTTGCCACCTATACTTTACTTTTCCTGGACTTTTACATGTAGAGAGGTTGACATAAGGAGGTTGACATAAAGGAGAACTTTTCTTCCACTTCTATAGTTCCATAATTTGGTATGTAAGTACTAAACATGCTGAGGAGATAGTGTAGTTCTTCCTAGAATACCACCAACTTGCCATATATTGCAAGCTGTTTGGAAGCTGATTTCCACCAGTTGCATGGCCCTTGGTCTGCCTTTCAGTTTACAATTCCATGTGACATTTGTCCAAGAATCAAAAACTTTGTCGAGGAAACAAGCCCAGTCAAATATGAAAATCGGTCTGTTTGACAATACTTGTCCACAAATTCAGTTCATGTCAATTATTAGTTATGGCCCAATTTTCCAGTAGATGCTTTTCAATTAATTGAGTTACGACTGAACACTTTCTTATGGGAAGAATCTTAAGTTGGTGTGATTGCCTAGGTATACCTTTCCCTTCCTTTTGACATCTGGACTGAGCCAGCTGCTTTCTCAACCACTGAACATCTCCAGGTTTATACAGCTAAAGATAACTGCTTTAGGGTCTGAGATTTCTGTAGCTTGTTTAATCCATCCCTACAGTCTCTGTTGATTTAGACAACATCAAAACTTAGTGTTCTTTATTCAGTTCTCCTCGTCCTGCTCCTCCTTCTCCTCCTCGTTTATATCAGTTTTCCTACCCATCTTGTCACTGATGGTGGTAAAGTGAGGTACAAATACTTTAATAACTAATAATAATTTTTACTTTTTAAAGAATGCTGAAAGAAAATGGATCTTAAAAACAGAAAAAAGTGAAGGACTGAACTAACTGAACTATTCTCTTTGTATCTTAGGCCTCTTCCACATGGGTGTTTGGTTCTGGCTTGGGTGCTAAAGTGAAGCAGGTTTTTTCCTATTTCCACACAGCACCATGGTGCATTCCTGTACTTTCAAGTTTTTCTGCAATCTTTTTGATATTTTTGGAAAGATCTCAGGAAAGCTGGGGCAGGTTGCATGTAGATCCTTCCTGGTCTTGCCCACATTTGGTGCCATTTCTCCTGCCCAGGTCCCTTGAACCACTAGAAGCTTTTGAGGATTTTTTAAAAATCGCATCCTATAGCAATATGTCAAGTACAGATTTAAACAAAGCAAAAAAGCCCTCTGGTGGCAGGGTGGGAAGGATGAGGGCTGTGGGGGACTGGGGAAGGAAAGTGTGAGGAACTTGCCCTGCAGAAGCCCCCTTAATCAGCAGCTGCAGTGGCAATAAGAAAATCTCACAGAACCATCACCATGGGGAAGATCCCTTTGAATTCTCAGTAGCATCATCTTCAAGGCTATGCATGTGAGATTCTCCAGTGAAACATAATGCGTGGTTCAGTGGCTGTCATAAAATGTGACGATGAAAGTTCTATAAAATTGTCCCCCCCAAAAAAAAAATCCTCAGAATTTTCCTCTCAAATTGCTAAAAATGTAATCTCTGTTGATATTAGGGTTTTACAGACCTCATATTATGAACAATTGGTTACATGCACACTTAAGGAAAATAGTTATATGTTCACTTAAATTAGCTAGTTTGGATTAAAATTGTAATGAGGCTAACTTTACTGTAAATGTAGATTTATTTGGTCAAAGTGAAAACTTAAGTTATGCATTAATTGGCATTGAAGGCTAGTGAGCTTGAACCTCCTCAGACACTTATCATGTACAAAGCAGTAATCTTTCACATTTTTTTAAAAGTCTGTGAAGATGTTACTTGATGGTAAAAGTTTCAGGCATGTGCACTGCACATCATACCATAAGCTTCCTTTACCATAAGGACAAAAAAGAATACAATTGCTCAACAAATATATAATGTGAATTGATAATGTATGGATGCAAGAATTTGGGCAACCCATAGAAATTAAAATCTTTTCTTTCTCCGATTTAGAGCTCTGGTATGGATTTCTGATAGTGCAGACACCTTTGAGGAAAGCATCCCCAGTGGCAACCTGTGCTGTCTTGTGTCCTTTTTGTACAGCAATTGCCTAGTAGGGTGGTATAGTGGCTAGTGTGTCAGATTAGGATCTGGGAGACCTGGGTTCCAATCCCCACTCTACCATGGAAGCTTGCTGGGTGACCTTCAGCCAATCACACACTTTCAGCCTAACCTAGAGGTACTTTTCTCCCTTTCTCACAATACAAGATCTCGTGGGCACTCAATGAAATTGCTGAGCGGTCGGGTTAGAACGGATAAAAGGAAGTACTTGTTCACCCAAAGAGTGATTAACACTTGGAATTCACTGCCACAGGAAGTGGTGGCGGCTACAAGCATGGATGGCTTCAAAAGGGAATTAGATAAGCATATGGAGCAGAGGTCCATCAGTGGTTATTAGCCACAAGGTATAGATAGGGACTCTGGGGCAAGTGATGCTCTGTCATCTTGGTGCTTGGGGGGGTCAACAGTGGGATGGCTTCTAATGTCCTGGCCCCACTGGTGGACCTCTGATGGCACTGGTATTTCTGGCCACTGTGTGATACAGAGTGTTGGACTGGATGGGCCTTTGGCCTGATCCAACATTGGCATCTCTTATGTTCTTATATTCTTACCTCACTGGGTTGTTGTGAGGAAAAAATGGAGAGGAGAATGGCATACTCTACTTCGGGTCCCACTGTGGAGGAAGGCAAGGTATAAATGAAGTAAATAACTAAAATAGTTTCCAGCTTCATTTACAAGAGAAGAGAATGTAGGATCAGTGTTATACTGGCAGACATATGTCAAAACATCTGCATTAAGTCATATGCTAATTTGCTGCTCACCCAAGGAGAGGCATCTGTATGAACTGTTAACTTCCATTTCAATGTATTTGAGGAAGTGTGCTTGCACACAAAAGCTCATATCTTGAATAAAACTTTGTTGCCCTTAAAGGTGCACTGAACTCAAACAGTGGGTCAGTCATGCTTACTGTCAGCCCAATCTACCACACAGAGTTGTTGTACCACACAGAGTTGTTGCTGTATGTAGCCCTCAGCGCCTTTGATGACAAACAGAAAGAAACAGTGTCAACATAAAGATGTTCCTTTTGGGGCTTGCCACAAATAAATTTGAAGATGTTATTTCTGCTATGCCACTGGTTGGGAATCAGCTTCACATACACCCCCCCCTCCCCCAATCTCCTGCCTTCCCTTTTCTTTTCTAAAATGGGGGTCTGTTTTTCCCTCACTTGCTTTGCTGCTTTTTTAAAAAAACCTTAGCGCCAAGCAACTTATTGTCGATTACATGATGAGCCCCAAATATCTCTCGTTTGAAGGAAACTGAGTAATCAAGGCCGACTGCAATTTCCAGCGTAAGAGGCTGGAGGCAGAGCTTACAGGGTGGGAGGGGGAGCAGAAAGTTGTCCACAGAAACTTGTCTATTTTGACTGCACGTTACAGTCAAGGAGAAGCTGCCGGGTTCAGCAAAGACGCGCCTTCTCCTCGGGGTGGTTTCTCCCCCTCCCCTTAAAGCGGGAGACTCTGTGGTGCGGAGTCATAGAAAAGGGGGGAGGAGAGGAAGCGAAAGTTTTCGTCGCTGAAAAAGTGCACTTGGAGAGGGGGCAGCTGGCGAGTTGGGAGAGAACTGCTCATGGAGGCGACAATGCGATGACTCTCGGCTCGTGGGAGCGCCGGTCCAAGCAGTAAGTCCTCCTGACCCGCTTTCCCTCCTTCTCTCCGTTGGGGGGGGGGTACTCCCGCCCCCCGCCTAGCGCCAGGCAGGGGCGGAGGAGAGAATGGTGCCGGACCCGGCCGCTTGCTTGGGGCTGGAGGGTCTGGAGGAGGTGTCCGCGGACCTTTGGGGCGAGAGGCTGGGCCGGCGCGCTGCGGTTTCCCCACCTCCACGCGGCTGATTCACCCCCGGGGAGAGCGGCTGGTGGCCCGGCTGGGAAGGAAGGGAGGGAGGGCGGGAGCGTCGCCTTCAATGCGTCTCTGTCTCGGCGTGTGGCGTCTCTCGCAGGGCTCAGTCCGATGTCCCAGGTGAGAAGCGAGCTCCCCAGCCGCTCCGCAGACGCGCTCCATGGAGACCCCCAGGTGGATCCGGCGCCCTGCCCAGGCCCCGGCGCAGGTAAGGCGAAACTTTCCAGGCGCTTCGGCAGCCTCTCCGTCTCGCTCGCTCT